AGGCTGTTGCCATGTACATATAAAATGACAAATTATATATAGCAACAAGATTTTTAAGAACATTAATTTTCATTGTTAAGATTACTTACATGAAGAAAATCTTTTAACATACATTTTTATATAAAAATAATTTTTTTTAAATGACTGTAAAGTCACTTTACAGAAAAACAGAGAATATTGCATCTCAGTGTAAATAAAACACACTCTGTCTTCAAAGAGGGCCTAAGCAACTACTTCATATTGAGCAATATTACACTTTCAAATAAAGAGACTTGTACTTTGATATGGAATTCTCTTTTAGCTTTTCTTAGGACTTCTGTCATATACAAGGACAAAGCAAGTACAGGTTTTCCTCAGTGTGTAATGAGCGATCTTGAAAGAAGAGCAGACCATGGCAGATGTTTTTTTTTTAGACTCTCTTGAGGTTTTCTTTCAGTATAATTAGCTCAGTGTGACTTGCAGGACTTTTCACACCAAAAGCATTAACATTGCATATAACATACAAGGTGTTATTGCTCTTAAGAGCTTGATTACATGATGAAAAAAATTGTGTCCTGATAAAACAAAAATCATGTCAAATGCTTAATTCTTTATATATTCAAGAAGAAGGCCAGATGGTAGTACAGTTCATATAAAACTAAAGCATAGTTTCAGTGTAAGTATACATAGGTGAATATATAATACATGTTTTTAATGTCTTTACCTAAATGGCTTGTCACAGCATTAATGGTCAGTATCATCTGTGCATCAGTCTATGACGTTGCATTACTTAATTTTCTCAATGCTGGTTTTGAGTGTTACCTCCTGTCTTCCTCCCAGTTTTATAACTTTTTCAAAAATCCTAGATGAAATTGGTTTTCCTGTCTGTGGGAGACTGGGGGTCTAGAATCCTGTGATCATGGAATATAAAGTATCACATGGGATATAGGGAGTAAGAGCCGGTTCATATATATACGCAGATTGGATGTTTTGAACCACATCCGAATTCACATGATGTGAAAGAACATTGATTTCTTTTGCGGTGGTTCATATATGCGGTGCAGCCAGAGTGCAGATTCAGTTCAAATTCAAGAAGGACCCTGTACGTTTTTGGACCAGTGTAGTCCAGTTCAGATGCAAATTCAGGCTCTTTGACTTCTATGGGAACCGCTTCTAAACCACACGTCATTAGTTTGCGAACACAATTTCAGTGCAGTTTTTGCTCTTCAAATCCTGTTGTGAACCGGCCTTGAACCGCTGAACAACTACTTTCAATTTGCATGGAAACCGGAGCTCAAAACCCCACACAGTGTGAATCCGCTTTTAAGGAAAGGGGGCTCTACAGTTTCCAGGGAAAAACACCCTTACAAACAAAAGTGGAAAAGTTTAGGACTCCTAGCTTCCACTAAAAAAAAATGGTAAAATCTACCCAGTTAAATACAGGTCTTTCTGAATCACCTTCATGATTGCATGTAAAGATAAGATTTTGCATGGTATACAATTTGTGGGCTTTCAAACACCACATAGCTAGGGTAGGAGGAGAAGTTTGCTTCCATTTGAATGCAATGCACACTCTAGCCATGTTGATAAGGTGCAGCAAAAGGGAATGTTTGTATTTATGCCTACATAGGTGTTTGAGATGCAATATTCATCCTGACAATATTGCCGGCTCTGCCTACTATTAGCTGGGTCACAGGAGGACAAAAGTAATTGTACTATTGTGACACATGAGATAAGTATGGCCAAAAAAGCTTTGTCCATACTTCTCTTTTATTATGTTTGGTGTCTAACTGATTGGCATCTTCTCATACATGAGTCTAATCACCTTTTTATAAATGTTACTTCCTCACAGTACAAACTATGAAATATACAAAGATTTGGGGCTTGGTAGTGAAAAAAAAAAACAGGTCAGCATCATGTGCATTTGCTTCTACATGGTTTTAAGACAAGGCTTTGAGAGTCTCTGGCTTAATGGAAATGTACAGCAACCATTCATAATCTGGCTCATTAACAGGCTTGTGCACATCCTGGCTAAGATGTTTATGCCATTCCATTCAAGGTGGTATGCTTTGTGCCAATGTATCTTGAGCTTTTTTTTTGCTCAATCTGTTACCACTCTGCTTCCTAGCAGATGCGAAACAAAAATCTGAATGTCCCCATTACTGACTCATGCATAATGTAAAAAGGAGGGTGACACTGCTGAATATGATTTCTGCACACAGTTTGGGGTTCATCAGACTTCATTATCATCACAAGAGGATCCTGGGTGATGTAATTGACCAAATATGGGCAGTTTGTTTGGTGGTTTGCTTAACCATGAAAATGCTGGGTTTGGGTTGAAAACACATTCCTGTTCAACTTGAATGCTAATCTTTGCGGTGCAATTTGCGTCCATCAATGCAAATCACACCGCAAAGTATCTGTTAAGGTATCGGGAGTAGTTTCACAAGTACTCATGAAAATACTCCCTACTTTTTTGTTAATTGCCACATTGCTGCATTACCACTCTTTACACAAATGTGTCTCTTGATCCATAGGCAAGTGTTCAGATCAGTAAAAAAAAAAAAAAATGGTGTTTTTTTTATTCCCGTATGCAAGAGGCCTTAGCAGCATAAAGACTTTCATCAAAGATTACAGTATAAGTGGTCAAGATAGTAATAAAGCATGAAGTCTATGCACAGGTATTTCTGAAGGTTCCAGTAGATATGAGCAGATGTAGAAACTAGAGTTTGTTCCTTATGTTTCAAGCGATGCCTGGTCACACACCTGCTAAACAATGTGTATCATAGACTGCAAAGTACAACTCTGGCCAAATGTTTTGAGAATGACGCAAATATTAATTTTCACAAAGTCTGCTGCTTCAGTGTTTTTAGATATTTTTGTCAGATGTTACTATGGTATACTGAAGTATAATTACAAGCATTTTGTAAGTGTCAAAGGATTTTATTGACAATTACATTAAGTTTATGCAAAAAGTCAATATTTGTAGTGTCAGTTGCAAGACCTCTGCAATTTACCCTTGAATGCTGTCAATTTCTGGCCACATCCTGACTGATGGCAACCCATTCTTGCATAATCAATGCTTGGAGTTTGTCAGAATTTGGGGGGGGGGGTTCGTTCACCCACCTCTTGAGGATTGACCACAAGTTCTCAATGGGATAAAGTCTGGGGAGTTTCCAGGACATGGACCCAAAATTTTGATGTTTTGTTCCCAAAGCCACTTACTTATCACTTTTGCCTTCTGGCAAGGTGTTCCATCATGCTGGAAATGACATTGTTCGTCACCAAACTGTTCTTGGATGGTTGGAAGAAGTTGCTGACGGAGGATATTTTTGGACCATTCTTTATTGATGGCAGTGTTCTTAGGCAAAATTGTGAGTGAGCCTACTTCTTTGGCTGAGAAGCAACCCCACACTTGAATAGTCTCAGGATGATTAACTGATAGTAGCGCTCATCTTTTTTTCTCCAGATAAGCCAGAAAATGACTGTACTCCAGTCCTTAGCAGTCTAATCCCTCTACCGTTTGCAGAATATTAGTCTGTCCCTGATGTTTTTCCTGGAGATAAGTGGCTTCTTTGCTGCCCTTCTTGACTCCAGGCCATCCTCAAAAGTCTTCGCCTAACTGTGCCTGCAAATGCACTCACACCTGCCTGCTGCTATTCCTGGGCAAGCTCTGCACAGGTGGTGCCCCAATCCCACAGCTGAATCAACTTTAGGAGACGGTACTGGTGCTTAGTGAAAGATATACCTTATGGCACAGCTCCAAGCAATGGATGGAAGGAAAAAGATCACCCCACTGGCAAGTGAGAAGAGGGGGCCATAAGTCCAAGTGATTCCAGTGTCAGCCAATGCAAGTGAAGGTATGGATGCTGCTCAATCGACCTCAGGAGTCCAATGTTGAGGAATGGCCTCAGCCGCCGTTCAAGCCACGCCCTCTAACATGTTTCACCTTGCCCACTGGAACTGCATCAGAGGGCGTGGCCAGAACGGTGGCTAAGGCCATTCCTAAATGGTTCTGATGCTTGCTGGACTTTCTTGGGTGCCCTGAAGCCTTCTTCACAACAATTGAACCTCTCTCCTTGAAGTTCTTGATGGTCCAATAAATGGTTGATTTAGATGCAATTTTAATAGCAGCAATATCCTTGCCTGTGAATCCCATTTTGTGCAAAGCAATGATGACTGCAGGTGTTTCCTTGCAGGTAAATTTAATATTTGTGTCATTCTCAAAACTTTTGGCCAGGGCTGTATATTAAATGGTCATGGATGTAAATTTATCTCCTGGATCTAATTCTCTTTTGAGTAGCAGAAAACCCACAGAATAATTTAAAACTGGCTAGGGGAGTCCTTCACATACAAACCTACATTATATTGCCTATGTGAGCAAGTTGAACATCCCATTCATTCTTTCAAAAGAGGTAGGTCAGGTACTGATTTCGGACGAGAACACTGGGCTAGCAACCAGCGATGCAATTTTTTCCAAAGGTGTTTAGTAGGTTTTCATGTCAGGCTTTTGCTCAGGCCACTTGGGTCCCTCCACACTAAATTAGTCAAACAATTTCTTTATGAACCTGGCTTTGTGCACAAGGACACTGTCATGCTGGAAATGAAAAGGGCCTTCCTCACATGCTTACCATAAGGTTGGAATCAGAAAATGATCTAAAATATCTTTGTATTATATGCTCTAGAATTAACAGTACCCTTCACTGGAAATTTTTGAGGTGTCCACATACGTTTGGCCACATTCTGTATCGTGATTTTCTTTTTTTTTTTTAATCCAGAAGTCCTTTCTTCTTCTGCAACACTTTTATTTTCAATGATAGAGGCATCTGTAAAATTTTCCCTTTCAAGTAAAATTTATGGAAATATTAATCAGTTTTTTTTTTACTGCTTTCTGCAATGCAACTATTTTTTCTTTGCAGTTGTGGTAGTAATATGTGCATCTAGATTCTCTTGCATTACCATTTCACCCAACTTTAAATTAAACTGAGGGATTAATTGGTTATTATTTTTGTTTTTTATAGGAGTTTTACACCAGCAAAGATGGAACCCAGATACCTATGTTTATTATCCATAAAAAGGGTATTCCTTTGGATGGTTCTCACCCAGCATTTCTCTATGGCTATGGAGGCTTTAACATATCCATCACACCAAGCTACAGGTAAGAATTTTTACGCAGAATTAGTCCGCTTAGAAGAAATTGGCATTATACTGTATTTAAAGAATAATTCCAGGCATTGGTATTTTATACATAAATTCAAATTCTCTGAATATTCCCAAAGAAAAGTAAACCTTTCACCCTTGAAAGTGCAATTAAATTTTAATTTTTTTTTTTTTCTCCATGAGTGTTTGCATAGTATCACAAATATTGTATTGAAATATTGGTTTAAAAAGTTAATGCACTATATTTAGTTTATATTTTTTTGAGGTATCTTGGATTTGAAGATATTTTCAACGTTTGAAGATCTAATAGTGTGGACTTGTGGTGGATTAATTTTGAATTTATGTAGGACAATTTTGGAGATAAGGAAAGGGAAAAAAAATGTAAATTTTTTTTTTTTCATGAATAGTTTAAAGAAAAGGTTTTTATATTTTATACATAGTTACATTGGTTCAGCTTGGACTGGTGTAACTATGTATATATCATACCTGTCTGATGCCCCTGGAAGCTTGAATTCACTAATGTAAGCACCACTACTCAAGTGGTCTGCACTTGTTTCGGGGTCCCACGCCAAGCTGCTGCACCTCTGCATACTGAACACAGGAGGTTGGCCACTTGGCACAGTTGCCAATCAGAAAATGCAAAGCATTTTCTGATTGAATACAAATTTTTCTCTGATTGGACGAGGTATAGAGCATGACATTCGCTGCCTACCCCAACTCTCCACCTGTCCAATCAGAGAACTCTGCATTCATTCAGAAAAGGCAATTCTCCAAATGGCACCCGTGCTGAGTATCTGACCTCCTGTGTTCACCAAGCAGCTAGGCAGCTGCTCAGCTCAGGGACCCAGAAGTGATTTCCATCTTCCAGGGGTATCATCCAGGTTTGGTAAATACATAGTTACAGTAATCTAAGCTGGACCAATGTGACTATGTAGTCCAGTAGCTTTAATTGGGAAGCTTGTCCAGTCCACATTTTTTTCTACGGGTATATATAATGCACGGGTAACCATTTTAAGTGAAAAGATATGAGACAGATATAGAAAGAAACTTTTAACATAGACTCCACTTACACAAAATAAAATGATGACAATGCCATAATGGAATGATTGTGCTTAAAATGGTGACTCTAGTATGGAATTTCTGTTATTGCACTGCGTTATGTAATGCTGGCGATATACTTACCATGTGATTTAGTGCTTAAAACAGTTCCACTCTCACCTGCATGTTTCAAGCACATGCAGGTTTGTCCAAATGGCACTGTGTGTAATTTAAAATAGCTTTTTGGGATTCACCCAAAAATATTGTAATATTGTTTTTTATGTTTGCTTCATCCAAAAACAGATAAGTGGAATCTGTTGCCAGATTTAAATTGGATGTGTTATTTTTAAAGTTTATCCAAACCTAAAAACTAAAATGTAATACTGCAGCTTAGCAGTCTTTAGATGTGGTGGTTTTATTAGTTTTATTTATCCTTTACTATCATCTGGTAATACTGCAGACAATACACCACTGTCCTAGAGTAGCTATGCTCACCTTTGGCACTGTATCTATGGTGGGAGCCATGGTTGTCATTAAGGCTGCTATACATACTTGCTCTACAAAAACACATTGCTATACTCATTCCCATTACAAGGGGGAGAGGCAGGGTAATTAGTAGTTTAGACTAGACAATTTGAAAGGAAAATAGGATAGTTTGTGATTTTAGATTATTTTGCAGGAAGTGACAAGGACACAGCATTTCTGGAAAGATCAACTGGCATTTTCTGTACTTGCTGAAAATGTAATTAGTCTAAAAAAAAAATACAAATGCATCTATGAGATCTAAGGACAGATAAGGTGCAATATATAGAATTTATTTTCTTGGGTTTAGATATCCTTTATCAAACTAGCTGCTTATGAACTCTGAGGATAACTTACAATTGTTATGGCAGGCTTGAAATCCTGTAAGCCTGCTCAAGATATTTTAAAATGTTTATATCCAACCAAAATATATATAAAAAAAAAGTCACATGTTCATTAAAAGTAAATTGTGTACCTGAATTTAACTTCGCACCAGCCTCTTGTAACTCCAAAAAAGCAGCTCTTAAATTGGGAGAGCTAAATTTGGCAAAATTTCTAGTCAATTAGACATGTGCTAACAAGAAACTGACGAGGAATATAGATCAGAGGGTTGACTTCATCAGTTTGCTGCCTCACCTTCATTGTCCAGTCACAGCCTGGAGCTAAAATGTGGCCCAGTTGAGTTGCTTAAAGTGATCAATTTCAAAATTACGCTATTTCTAAAATGGTACATTTTCTTGATTTAAACATTTTATATTTTTTCTAATTTCTATTGTGAATAAGATTGGGTTTATGAGACTTGCAAATGATTGCATTCTGTTTTTATGTATACTTTACACATCATCCTTTGTCTACATAGAGTGTACCAAAAGGTGTCCCTTATTATCATTTTGGAAAGGTGGGAGATATGCAATCAGTCATAAATTGAGTTCCATAGAATTTGATGTTTCTTACATTTTGTATTAGGCAAACTGGAAGAATATTAATTGTATACTTTTTTTTCAGTGTTTCCAGACTTATTTTTGTAAGGCACTTAGGTGGCATACTTGCTATTGCCAACATCCGGGGAGGAGGAGAATATGGAGAAACCTGGCACAAAGGTTAGTAAATTTACCCTTCTGCTCAGATTGAGATTTTAATAAAAGTAAAAAAAAAAACAAAAACCGCAAAACTAACGTATGCAGTTTTGTGTTCTGTCAAAGCACACTTTTGCTGTCTGTGCTGGGCATATATCAAGCAAATTATAGCAGTCTTTGATGTAAGAATAATGGGGATATGATATATTCGTAATTGGTTAACAAAGTAATGTATGCAGCATGCTTGCCACAGGTAAACAATGGTCCAAACTGGTCCATAATGTCTGAAAAGTGTATGAAAATCACATACTGTATGTCTATTAGGTTTCATAAACAAAGTGGCTCACTTAACTAAAATTGCTATCGCCACTAGTATCTTGTATGTAACCTGCCATTAGGAAAGCGTCTGTGTTTGTTAATAGAAGTTTGAGAACACTCAAACTGTCCGTTTACAATTTTTTTCATCCAACCCCAAGATTCGCATAACCTTCAGTATTCATACATTTTACCAAATTAACCCAGTTTAAAAATGTGTTATTGTTGGGTGAAAGTTGTGTGACTCTTAGGTGAAAACATTCATAAATAGACATCCAAGTGTTTCTGAATGCTTGCGCCTCAAAATATACTCACATTTTTGGGCCTAAATTGATGGCTGGTCCAGACACTCGCAAATACCTGCTTTGGTCTTGGCCTCTATTACCCTGCTCCCCCCCCCCTATTTTTTCCTTTTTCCTTCTCTTCTCTATTTTTTCTTTCCTCCTCTTTTCGGTTGGTAATTGATGTTCATGGGGTCAGTTCCCCTGACCTTCGTTCTAGTTACACTTGATATATGTACCATTGGTAGCCCCTGCGTGGGCATGATTTCTGCTAATGTTTTTCTGTACCACAAAATGTTTTTTTTTTAATTTGAAAATCAATAACAACCATTGAAATACAAAATATACTCACATTTTTACTTTCCTTTTTTTAAAAGCTTTAGCTTTTTTTTTTTTTTACTTTAAGCTAGAAAAGTTGACCTGAGGACCAGTTTAGGAAACACAAACTTGTTTTATACTAAAACTTCTCTGCAATGGTATCTCTAAATACATTTAAGGAGTATAATTTTGATTACGATTTTGCTTTTTATTTAAAAAAAAAAGAATTTACATAATGGTCTGAAAATATCCTAATTTCCATTCAGGAAATAGCTAATTATCTACATTCCAGATTCAAATTTTGGTATACATCTTTGCATTTTGTTTTTCATTTCTTGATTGCACACCTGATGTTCTGACTACTGAACAGGACTGTTTTAGACATAATTGATTTATTTCTTTCATTGTGTCAGTAAACACTTAAGCTCATGACTTATTTCTTAAAATAGCACTTTTTGTTACAGCTTGAGCAGTCTTGAGCAGTATCATTAGATATGAATTCTAGCATCCTATAAAACAACCCATTTAATAGCCCTAGTAGAGTTTAACCCTTTATGAAGATGGATAAAATGTAACAGTTAACATTTCGAAGAGTGACTCCTACAGTGAGCACCTGAGAAAGTGATTCTAAAGGCATTTTTCTTTTTATTAAAATGAAAAAGATGTTATACCTTGCTGCTCTGTGCAGTGTTATTGCGAAGAGAGGCCCTTTATCTCCTCTTTCCCCCTTTTTTTCCCCTGTCTACCACATCCCCCCCCCCGAGCTTAACTTTGAGGCATGAAGATCCTATACGCTTGCAAAGACTGGTGACTATTTTCCAGTCACATCAATAACCCATGGGACTATGTGCACACCCAGCACTTTTCACCGTTTAAAGTCAGTGCTGTGGATTATAGGCAGCACTGTCATATAGTTAGTCTTCCACCACTATCCGAAAATGCTGGACAAAGACTGAATGACAGAACAGAAGACAGATACACAGCCTGTACAGCCCCCACCTGCTCTGAATGCAACAGACAGAACAGCTGAAGCCCTTTTTGCTGTGCAGCCCATGCCTCCTCTGCTCTGTTTGTACAGATAGAAAATTACATCTGGCCATAGATGACTTGTTTGTTTGATTAGCCAGCCCCCAGCAAGGATATTTTATACTGACAGCGGAAATGCTGTCAGAATACACTGATCAGTGGCTGCAGCCACTGATTACGAAAAATTTTCTGACATTCCTGTTTGATAGAAAGCAATCTAACAATCAACTTCTGTAAAACATGGATGTGCACACGTTGATCAATCCCTACTGAACCGACTGAGTTTCAATCCTACTATGGCCAGTTTAAGCTCCCACAGCCCGCTCTCCATTTTACAGTCGTGCCTCCTCTGCTCCCTTTGTTATTGTTAGAAGACTGAGCCTGAAATCTCTTGCAGCCACCAGCTAGCCTAAAAGAGAAATACAACAGTAGTAGCTGGCATTTTCTGTTGCATGAATGTCAGTGGCTGGGGAGCAGCACTGTCGTTCACAAATAAAACACAAGCTGACAATAGCACATGTTGGCAGCTACTACATTTATCCAAGATAGATTAGTATAGTAGCTGCTGGCATGTGTTATTGTCAGATTGTGTTTTTGTAGATGACAGTGCTGCCCCCAGACACTGTCATTCACACAACAGAAACTGTCAGCTTCTGCTGTAGCCATCTCCTTAGGACTAGCTGGCAGCTGCAGGAGATTGCAGGCATAATCTTTTAACAGTAGCATAGGGAACAGGGGAAGCACAGCTGCAGAATGGAGATGGAGATTTGGGAAGTAATGGGTTCAGTCTTTTAACAGAAACAGATGAGGTATGGCTGCAGAATGGAGGGAAGTTGTGGGTTGTTCAGTCTTTTATCTATGTAAAGGGAGCAGTGGAGGCTTGGACTGCAGGGAAGGAGCACTGCAGACTGGAAAAAGGGCTGTGGCTTCATTGCTTCATGTACCTCTCCCATAAGAACACCCATAATTTGGGCTTCTGTCTGGGGTGGAGCTGCACCCAGCACTGACAGTAATAAACAAGATATTTTATAAAGAAACCACAGCACAGATTTTAACACGTGCTATATGTACTGGGTCCCCTGGGGGATTAACAAGCCTATTTAACTTTTGCCAAGAGTTCCTTTTCAAATGTAAACTTCCAATCAACTCACAGATTTTGTGTTTCTGTGCACACATACACTTTCCTAGGACTATGCCACCCTGAGGTGCAAATGTCCTGGTCATCAGTTAACCAATGTTGTGAAAACACATAATCCTTAATCTGCAACTCTGCACCAACCTTGCTCATTTGAAAAAAATATATTTGTTACTGGTCAGTCATAATGAAAAAATTAGGGGTTTATATCTAGCTGAAAACCTACACCAAACTGTAATTTTTTTCAGTTTAAAGTAATCATTTCACTATTTGTGGATAACATCGTAAATTTACTGAAGCACTGGGTGTTTTGGTTAACATCGTAAATTTACTGAGCAGTTTTGGTTAACATATGAGCACCTGTTTTTTTTCTTATATATTTCTAAGCTGCCTGTTTGGGTAAGAAGCAAAACTGTTTTGATGACTTCCAGAATGCAGCTGAATTTCTGATTAAGAAAGGATATTCCTCTCCTCAGAACATCACCATTAATGGAGGATCAAACGGTGGCCTTCTAGTAGGTAAGTCTATTTGATTAAATGGTTTACCCATATATGTGCTTTACAATAAAATATTGTATTAGGGAAGAGCTGAGCAGTTTTATAGCTAGTGACTTTTTTCCACATTCTGAAAGCAGTGGAAAATGTCAGTATAAGCCCTAAATTGTCAGTTTGGCTTTTTTAACCTCTTGCCTTCCAAAGAATTTAGCCCTCTTCCTGTCCAGGCCATTTTTTGCAATACAGCGCTGTGTTACTTTAAATGAGAACTGCAATGTTGTACATAAATGAAATTTGTCCTTTTATAAAAAGCACTGTCATTGTACTAATGACGCTGGGCAGGAAGGGGTTAACATCTAGGGCGATCAAAGGGTTACCAGTGTGCTGTGTTGTGTTATACATAGTGTGCTGTGTGTGTGTTTTACTATGTAGACAAGCTGGTTTGTATTGGTCTGCTGTGCAGAGCAATACAAAGCAGCCTGTTCATGCTGACAGGTGAGAGATCTGTGTTGTTTGCATACAGACCTCTCCCCTGTCAGCTCTGCCAACGATCAAGTCCTGGACGAGAATCGGTGGCCGGGAGCCAGTGATTGACATGCCAAGGAGCCAATATAGGGATCGGGTAGGTAGCGTGCACACCCCCTACCCGGAAATGCAAAATTATGTTTATATACGTGATTTTGCGCATCTCTGATGCCCTGTAGCAGTACTTCTGCTATATGGTGGTTAAAAGTTTCTTCTTCATCCCTTTCTTTTTTAGTTTTTGTCTTGTTACTAAACACTGATTTATGACAAAGCCCGTCATTGCCATTCCCTTTGTTCAATGAGAGTGCACTTACTAGTCACTGAGGCAGCCACATGGGACAGGAATTGGCTGTTGGCAAAGCCTACAAAGCTTAGCCATGAAGTCAGGGAAATTTAGAATCCCGTAACAATTGAAATTAAATTAAAAAGGTGCTGGAGACATCCACTCTGGTGCTGGAGATGTCCCCACCAGTGCAGTGTTATATTCCTCTGCTTCTGTTTCCTCTCTCTTCTTGTTTTGCCCATTGGGCAGGCACTCATGATGTAGTTTTTGGCACCTGGCTATACTCCCAGCATCTTACAAATGCCAGCAGGTTAGTAAAAGTTTTTTTTGCCAGCAGAGACTTATAAATGATTCCTACGTGTAGGATTGTTTGTTTGTTTTTACACTTACCTTTGCATTAAATTAAGCTTAATTGTTTGTAGCTATATAAACATTTTTTTATTTATTTCAGGTACTTATATAGCGCTGTCAATTTACGCAGCACTTTACTATATATATTGTACATTCACATCAGTCCCTAACCTTAAGGGGCGTACAATCTAAGGTCCCTAACTTACATTCATACATATACTAGGGCCAATTTAGACATGAGCCAGTTCACCTACCAGCATGTCTTTGGAGTGTGGAAGGAAACCGGAGTACCCGGAGGAAACCCACGCAGGCACAGGGAGAACATGCAAACTCCAGACAGGTGGTGCCGTGGTTAAGATTTGAACCAATGACCCTAGTACTGCCAGGCGGAAGTGCTAACCATTTAGCCACTGTGCTGCCCTTTAACATGTAAGCCAGTTAAATCTTTTTATGTGCTAGGAAGATGTGTTGGGGATTAACTAAGTATAGTTAAAGAGGTGGCCGGGTACCCGGGTAGGAATAAATGTCAGAGATTACACATTGTGACTCTCCACTGGGGTTCAGTCAAAACTATGATTCTCTGCTGGGTTCAAGACTTCACTCATTTGTTTTCCTTTTTTAATTTTGTATTTGCATTTTTCTGTATCTACAGTTAATTGCTCTATACAGTATATGTGTTATATAATGCAATATTTCATAAAATTATAATTAGCTAACAATAAAGATGAGTGAAATACACATACATTAACGTATGTGCCAAGTGATTCACAATTCTTTCCAGACAATTTTTATGTCCTATATGACTCTGTGAGAGACCACAGAAGTTTGACAAGGCTTTCTTTGTTAGTTCAGGAATGCAGTTGTCACTTCTTGCCCGTAACCTGCTGATGGGACAATGAAGCAGCATACTGACAAGTCATCAGTTCATCAAACTTTGCTCTCTCCTCTTGTCAGCTTGTTCCCTGTACATGCGGCAGAGCCTGGTTGGTTCCTAGTATTGCTCCTCTCCCAGTCTGAGTGCCACTGTGCAGGGTGAGATCAAGACAGTTACATCAAGAATATACAACCTCATTAAATGGAATTCTGCTTTAATATGATTATTTCACACTGTTTAGCAAGGTCTGTAACCTGATGTTTTATTTTAAAGTTGCCAAAGTAAACACTCTGCTACATCCTCCTCATATTATGCAAAAGTAAATATGTTGAGGAAATTGTACTTCTTGGTTTTAGAGATTATCTTTGTTTTTCTAATCCTTAATAGGAAACTAAATTAGAAAGTGTCTTATAATACTGTGGCTATATTTTCCCTCTAATTCTTTAGGGAAAAGACCTATATTTTTCTGCATGACAGAATTACTTGCTACCTGAGCAGCTGACCTACACATTTCCTGCTTTGACATTCACTGCACAAATTTCCTTTTCTTTATTATTAGGATCCTTGTGTTCCCCACAGATTTCATTTCCATTGTTCTCTCTAAGAACAAGGCTTTAAAATGCCAGTTTCCTCATTTTTATAAATGTGGTCTAAAAGTAAATGCACATTGTACATTTCTAGTACTTTCATTTTCACTAGAAAGTCCAATGGAGGTATTTTCTTTCTCATCCATTAAGAGACAGAGAAAGTAATTCATATTTGGGCTATACTGCCCCTACTGCCACTTATCCCGAGCCTTGCTTTTGGGGTGCTGCATCCAGATCCATCTAGACTGAACATTGCAGGACTAGCCTGGAGGAGACTTCAGCACTGGTTTCTTCATAAGGTGCTTTCCAGACTTTATTCTGGTAACAAGTTAGTTCTGGAGCATTTTCCAGATCAGAGCTACTGGCATTGCCTCAGTGCTCACCCTATATATATGAATGTTTACTCCAGGAGTATACTAATCAGGCTGACCACAAGGATATACCTCTTTTACGTTGATTTGTGAACACCTTTAAATTCCAACTTTCTGCTTGTTCCTAATGTGGACGGGGTGAATGCTGAGGGATTTTGAGCTGATGTCATCCATTGGGTGGAATGGCATGCTTGTTCTGCCATTCAGGTCTAGGAAACACCCCCCTGCTGCTTCTACTGTTCATGCATTGCAGAGTGCCACATGGAACTCTGATTTTTTTTGCACCTGCTGCTGGCTTACAATGATTGCTGTCACCTTCAGCCATCCAACCCCTACCTGCTTACCTGAGTACCTGAGGTCTTGCTTCATAGAAAACGTCCTGACAAATTGTTTGTTCAACTAAGTACATATTAGCCTTGTGTCTGTGTGAAGAGAACTTTATTAAAAAAGAAGTCTGCCCCCACTGTGGCTCCATCAGTGTCTTGTCTTACCACAGCATACAGTCCAGCAAGAGAACCAAACATGTTCCAAGAATTTTATTTCCTTTTTTTTGCTACAAATTTTAAGAACGATCTATAAATAGAAAAGCTACCAGACTGACAGCCCCCCTACTCCCTCAAAGTCTCTTTCTTTACAATACCCTCCCATCATTCCAGGAAAACGCATGTACCATAAATAGGAAGACAGTTGTTTGTGGCCAATATTCTAGGGCAAAAACCTACAAGGCCCCTATTAATAACAATCCCAACAATGCCCAACATCATAAAATTAATTGAGACAAATGCCTCAAGAAGTATCCCACTCCCAGAAATATAGATAACCCCACATTCATGGCAGAGATTCAGATGGATGGAAATGTTCAACCTGACCATTATACAGTAATCAATGGGAGACTACCCATTAGTATCAGCTGTAGACACCCAGCTACCCCAAACATTTTCACATTTTTTGGGACAACCCTGATTCAAATACAGAACCGTAGTATTGGGGGCATGGTTTTTTTCCCCAATGCAATAAGATTGCTTTGTGGTCATAGATCAAAAGTACACTCCGTAGGATTCTATGTGCCTTCGTGGTGGCCAGTTCCACCACAAGGTCCAAAAGACAGCCTGGAATGGACAAGGGGACAGGGAGAGTTGTAACCTCCAAAATTGAGTTACATCCATCCAAAATTGTTGGACAATGCCAAAAGATATGTCAGAAATCAACTGGGATAAAGGTACAACACCATCATTCCACGGAAAGAGGCAAATATATGCCAGCTAATTTAGCAAGCTTAAAGTAAATACGGTGAAGAAACTTGTACTGAATTAGTCTGTCTTTAGCAGACACCAGATGCTGAAATGGGTAGTCCCCTCATATATTCTCAGTCATCCCCCTGTAAATTAAGAACATCAGCTACCCACTTCATTCTACAATGCTCATTGAAAGGAGGTCTGATCGGGAACAATTCCTTGTAGATTACAAATAAAGGTTAACCATAGAATCAGGACATAATACCATTTCCATCCAGGAGGGCTGACTCACCAAACGAGCTAGCCAAATTGCAACACAAAAGTGTGAAGCAATTGTACAAGCCTGAAAAAGTACACTAAAGAGTGTGTATTTGCACTTTAATTTGTTAAATGTCAAAAATGTACCTGCCGAAGTCACATCTCCAGTCTTTTTAATCTATCGATTGGCTCATAGAGCTGGATCTGGCAGTTACAGAAAATGGGGAAGTCATGGGCTCTCACAAATTGGGGAACAAGGTGGGACTCCAGATCCCCTCGGATACAGTATTTTGTGAGCCTGACCCCATGCTTTCATGGCAGGAATCATTTGAGTGACAAAATGTGGTGCCTGAGGTCCCCTATAAAGCAGATAGTTTAAGCTAGTGTGTACTGTAGCAGCATCACCATCATCCCTTATCAAACATCTCTGAGCAAACACCATTTGACCTGCTAAAAAATACTTGAGATCAAGTAATAAATCTATGCCGGACAAGGTTGCGTGTCCCTACGCACCATCTGGCCAGTTGATGAATCTAAAAC